ATTGGTCAACTCTAGCTCTAATCTTCTCACATGTTGAGGAGGGAGATTCTACTCATCGTCACTTGTCACAATGCGAGTGGGATAGGCATTGGGCTTCAAGATTAGCAATTTGCTATCCAACCATCAACAACAAACAACTGAGTCAGAAGATCCTTCTAGGATACTCTCTCTAGGATTGTACCTCGGTAACCCTACTAAAGTATCTTTGATCATCTTTGTCAATCTTTTCTCCACCTTCATAAGGTCATGGCAAGCGTAGTTTGGGGTGTACATGTCATTAACACCTCAGGATTGAGTTGTTCATCGAGGTGTGCCTACATTCTAGTTACATGCATCAATCCACTCTCACTTACAAATTTGACTGTGGAATATATCCGACCTTACTACCAAGCAAACTAAAGAAACTCAAAGCCAAGAATTTATGGTATGGAAAAAGATGATAATTTTTGGAAGTAAAATATTCCACTAACTCAATAAGGCTTTATAGATATACCCAAAAGATACAAAATGTACCTCTTTATTATGTATTTATAGGAATTTGAGGGCTATAAGAAAGGCTACATCAAAAAAGATGAGAAATACAATAATAAATAAGATCCAATATGAACAACTCTTTACACGTCTCAATTAGATAGGTTCTTGGCGTGATCACACTTCTTTGATTAAGTTTTTTGGCCTCAAGGTGAGTTCCCTTGTGCCAAATACTGGTGGGGATGTAGATGAAGGCAAGTCTCTAGATGGGTCAAGAAGGAAGAATTGTTCTCGGCGAGTCTTTCGATCATGCTGGCAGCCTCTTGGATAAAATTCATAGGTTGATTTGATATGAAGGATGAGCCTGCATTAATTGTTAATTGTAGGGGTAGCAAATTTCATGGCTAGCTAAGCACGAGGAAGCTTGTTTACTTCTTCATTGAGGTGATCCTTCGATATGGCTAGGTTGACAAATTCCATGGATGCCTCATCAATTGAGATGACAACAAGTTCCTTCAAGAGGGTGTCTCCCACTGAAGAAGCAAGTTCTCTTACTATAAAAAATCTTGTTTGAATCCCTAGAATTCAACTTAAAGGCGATCTTTCTTGGGTTGAACCATTAGCAGTCATGTAGCAATAGTTATGAGCAACCATTCCAATATGAGCCTTTATTGTCGGAGTCTATCAAGTTAGAGTCCTATTGGAACCTTTTAAATAATTGTGAGAGATCTAATAAGGCAATTATGAGTATACAGAACTCTCATAAATAATGAATTGAAATAAATACGCTTCAACACTTCAAAACATAGGAAGCATGTCTAATAAGAATATCTCTTATGACTAAAAACACCTATATAGAAGCTTATCAGAGATGGCGTATAGACATGCTTTTGCGAGGTACACATTATTGAAGTTAATAGAAAGTATATTTAGAGATGATTTGGGCATATAAAATGAAGGGCTAAACCACACCACCAAATCAACTAGAATGAATAATATGAAATAATTATGAAGCAAAAGAGGTAGGAAAAAAAGAAAAATAGGTACGCAAGTTGTGCAAAAATATTTGAATAAATTAGAGTTGAAACCTAGTGTAAAATTGACCCTCCTGTATAAAGCAAATTATTTTTTTAAAGCAAAATAAGTATTATTATTATTATCCCATAGAAGAATACAACATGAAGCAATTGCAAATTATTACTAGATGAACACAATAAGTAAAATCAAAATACACCATCATGTCCAATGGATTGTGATAAGAGAAGGGCCCCAAGGGTGCTTATTAAAAATGGGTAACCTGAAGCTTGGCATGCTTTGAGAGTAGCATTATCCTTTGTATATTTTCCCTCTTAGCATATAGAATTTAAAATTTTTTATCGACAAACTACACTATAATGGAAATGCTAACATCAACAAGGAGGGTTCTATCGATGTGGCTATAAATTTGGATGGCTCTCCCCACAACTGTGCTAATCTCCATACGATTTGTATTAATAATGAGATTGAACACTTTGTGGGTTCTATTTTAGGTCGGCAGGTGAGTCCTATTGCTGCAGATATAGCTTCCTTGCTTCAAACTCCTGTTGTTCTTGGTGTGGAATCTCTGATTGTTGATGTTGTTGGTTTGGAGGATGGTGGTTGTTTTAAATGAGGATGCTAACCCTTGTTTGGTTAATTCTATAGCTACCCCCATTGCGTCCCTTAGTGTTGTTGGAGTTGGAGATTTTGGTTGTTTATCCGTTACTTTGCATCAGGTGGAAAATGAAGTTGTGAGCCCCCTGGGTACTTCGATTTATGTTGTTCCTACTGTGTTGTTGGTGAATGTTCCTATTGAGCTTATTTCTTCTAAAGATTTTTTTTTTCTTCTAAAGATTTGAATGTCCAAGTCATGGGTAAGTGTTTGGATAATAATGATTGGCTAGATGGTTCTCTTTCATCACAATGTGGGGATGTTGGGGCTCACGTTGACTCTATAGATGATGATGTGTTCAATTTGGAAGTGAGTCGTATTGTCCAGAAAGCATTTGGCAATGGCAAGCGACGTAGCCAGAAATCTAAAAAGAAGTAATTGAGTGGTGTCTTTTACTTTTTTTACTTCTTTTTGTTGGTCGTTTGGTGTTGTTAGGTGTCTGGCGGTTTGATTTCTTAGCTGTGGGTGATTGGATTTTGTTTTCGGGCTATGTTGTTTGTGAGTTTTTCTCTTTGTTGTTGTGGATTTTGTTGTTTAGGTTGGTGACCGGGAGGTTTTATTTGGGGGTTGTTGGGTTGGTTTTTTGTTGGTTGGTGTTTATGTGGGAATTTTGAAGTCTTCGGTGTGTCTGGCCTCTCTTATTGTCCTGGTGATGGGTTTTCCTGGGTGTGGGTAATGATGTGGCGTGTTCTTGCTCATCACCCGCATTGTCGAGGCTTTTTGGTAAACATTGGTGGTTTTTAGCTTGCTGTTTGGTGTCCTAGTTTGGGTTGTTGCTTCTTCTCTCATTTGCTTCTTGGTGAGTTGTTGTTGGTTTCAGCCTTTGGATGGTCCATGTCCGGCGTCTAGATGGTTGTAGGAAGCTTCGCCTTTTCCTGAGCCTGGTTGCCTTTATCGTCATTTTTGGTTTTGGCTGTGTAATCTTCCTTTTTGCTTGGTTTAGCTGGTTGTATCCTCTTTTATTGATGGAATAAAATATTATATATATATATATATATATATATATATATATGGGATGACTTGGATGACTGCAAGCCTATATGAGATTCTAGTGTGGATAGGTGGTGGAATTAACCACAAGGAAACAACTATCTTGTAAACCAATACTACAAACATTGCATGATAAATTAAAATTCTCCATAAAAAAAATTCCAAAAATAACATATAACTAAAAGCAACATATCATAAAACACCCAAACATTAAGATTTTTTATATATTCACTGTAATTTTTCGTATTACTCCCTTTAACTATAACCTCAACAAACTTAGGCATTCACGTCGCTTTACTATGTCCAACAACGATGCAGCTCAAGGCAAGCTGCATGATACAGAAGAGGCAAGGATGAAATTAGTGCATTTTTAAGGTGTCTAGATGGTTAGACAAATGGCAAGTTTGTCTGATCTGATAGACCAAATGATAGTTATCCTAAAATTAACTATCACAAAAGTCGGTTTATTAAAAAGAAAGAGGTACAAAAAATAAACCTTGATTTTGCATGTAAACCAAAATTTTGATGTGAGGGGATGCATGTGCCATGTAGCCTTGGATGGTTGATAAATATCCATCAAACTTCTCAAATATTCTGAAAATATGGTAGTCATTTTATTATTCACAACTGCAACAACATTTAGATATAGGACAACTTCTCAAGCGACTATATGAGGATAAAAGATGAGGAAAATTATATCTGGGACTTCTGAAAATATCTTCGAATAAGCATGAAAGAAAAGAAATGCTAAGAGGTGCATGAAAAATGCATCCCCAGACAACAAGGCATATTGGACCACATTACATGGTTGAATGGGATAAAGGATATAAGTACTTGGCATGAAAAGCTTGTCAGATCAATACTGCCTTGACAAAATTTAAAAAAAAAAAAAAACTTCACAGTTCACATGTTAAGCAACCTGCTAAACTTAAGACCCATTTGGTTGCTTGAGGTTACAAAACACATCATGAAAATAGTAAAAATTTATATATCCATAATATTTATGAAAAGTGGTTTAAAATACTCCCAAAATTGCCCTAATTGTAATGATTTCTAAACATGATTTTGAACTACAAGAAACAAACTGATCCTTTAGTGTAATTCAAGGCTAATGCTCTTGTCATGCTTATTTACCTCTATAACTGGATCATTATGGTGTATTCATCAGGTTGGCACAAATGGAAAGGTAGCATCTCGTCTTCATAGTACTATGATAATAACAAGCAACTCCATCATAATTGATTTAACCCAAATAGTTCAGGTCATGATTATGAATATGTATCAAAAATATCTCCTTTAATCTCTACATTATTTAGGATGTCGCTCAAGCCCATGATACTGGACAAGAATAAAGGTTTAATCCACAATTCATTAAAAATTTGTTCAATTTCCACTCTAAAGTGAAGGTTTCTTAAAGATTAGCAACAGAAGCACCAAGGTAGGCCTTTTAATATCTAATTTAGCAAAATATTATCAATTTATGGATTTAGGTTGATAACTAATACTCCCATTACAGAAAATAAAATGTTCAATTAGGCAGCAATAGTTAAGAAAAATAAAGATAAATCCAAAGTTCTGCTGAAATACAAGTTTGAAGGACTTCATAATAGAAATATCAAACATGTGAAGGTGTGAAATGGAATTGATATCAGGCATTAAGTTCCATGTTGAACTGTGGCAGTGTTGCATGTTTGAAACAAGAAGAAATAAGCAATATAATCATTTAATGCTCAAAGAAAAGCATTCAATCATGCAAGAGATGCATTATTATAACTCCCATTGTTAAGAAAAGGGGAAAAAAAGAACAGAACAAAGCATTAATACATTTTATATAGAAGGTACAAATTACCTTCAGGAGTACATCTCCGGGAGCCAAAGTGATGCAGACCTACATAAGTTCCTTTCACAGCTCCATTATTGTACACCAAAATAGTTGGAAGGTTATGGTCAGGGTATTTCGGAATGCAGTCTGTAGATATTATCTTAACAAATTTTGTCCCTGGGTATCTAGCAGCAAGCTCCTCTAAGCACTGTAGAAGTAACTCACATCCTGGGATGCTGTCCCACCATCCAAAACAACCCAATAAATTTCAAACAAAAAGCTATAAAACTAGAAGCAGAATTCTTTCTGCGCTACACATAGCCAGAATGAGGATACAAACAATTTAAAAAAATAAATAAATTAATATCCGGTACCAAGCTTTTACATTCAAAAAAAAAAAAAGACAAATAACAGTTACAGAAACATGATCCACATATTCAAATAGCAACATATTTCAAACATGAAATCAAATATAGTTCAACAAAAGCTAGAATCACAACCTCCCTTTATAGCTCGCTCTCTTTTACAGAAGAAGAGCTTCTAGCAGATAAAAAGAGAAAGAAGAAGAGAAGGGCAGTAACATTCTCAAAACCCTTGTAACCCAAATCAACACGCGGAGAAAAAAAAAACATAGTTATGCATGAAAAATCATTTAAATGAGAAGAATGCTAAAAGAATCAATGATCAAATATTGATGAAGTGAGAAATACCCATCCTTGAAAAGAAGCACGACGACCCAGACATCAGAAGGAGCTTGAGAAACCTCTCGGACGAAATCCGATCCCGTTATTAAAAGCACTGCTCCGAACCGAGCAACTCTAGCCGCGGCCTGCATCTCCGCCAGCCTCCGCTTCCTTCGAGGTTATAATTGCATTCGATTGACAAGGGATAACAAAAGATGCAAACCTACGAAAAGGAAGAAAAGTTCAGACCTGTACTCTTCTAGGAAGCGATTGTCATCAATATCAGGGTCATCTTCCAAACCCTCGAGCTCCTCAGCTGTGCGCTCGTCTATCCAGTCCTTGGATTTGAGGCGGAGTTCGGGATCTTCTGACGGGGCGAAAGGAGGCGGCTTGAAAATTTCAGGTTTTGGCGGGAGGTTGCCAAGCCGCCGCTGGATGTCGTCCCATTCAGTACTCGTCCCCTCCACGTCCTTGTAGACGAAATGGTAATCCATGGCGTTTCTCTCTGCCTCTCTCCCCCTCTCTCTCTCTCTCTCTCTCTCGGGTTCTTGCCTTCAGGGTAGAATTTATGATTTTATTTAAGTAGATTACGTAAATCCTTCAAATTCGGATTTATGAGATTCTAGGGGATTAAATTCTGAAAATTATTTGATAACATTCATGATAAATTCAGTTAAATTCTTTATGAGTATTTGGATGTTCAATTTATGATTTAAGACGGTTAAAAAGTTGACATACATTATTAGAATAATTAAAGCAAGACAAGAAAATTTTAAATAAAATATAACAAAAATTTATTAATACTAATTAATTAATTAATTATTATTTATAATATTTTATAATAATTTTTTTAATTTTAGATCATATTTAATCCTATTAATTTCGGCCAAATCCCGTAAATCCGCCGAACCAAAGGATTTCATAAATCCGGGATTTACCACGAAAAGAGGGAATTTTTCGTCAACCGCGGCTTTCATTTACCGTGAGATTTGATTTTGCATTTTAGGCCGTTTGGCTGGATTTTGCTCAAATCCGGCCTTAAATCCTGCCTAAATCCGCATACCAAACAGCCCCTAAATGTTAGGAACTTGTATGAAGTGCAAGGACTATGTGATTATATATTATTAGTGCTTGTTTGATAAATAATTATTATAGAAATTTAATATTTATTATAAAATTAATATGTAATATATTTAAATTAATTTATGAAATTACTAGAAGCGCCAAGAGGGGGTGAATTGGAAGATTAAAAACTTCTTTATTGAAAATCTTTTTTTTTATCTCATGTAAGAGAGAAGTTAGAGAGAGAAGTTATGAGGAAATTTGGCTTTTACAACGGAATTTTTCAAATTTCGTTCTCCGCGGGAATCACGGGGAACGAATGGAGGCGGACGTTCGCTGGCTTCCAGCCGCCAAAGGTAAACTTGATGTTCGACGTCCATCTGCAAGGGCTCCGTTATCATCTGCCATAGCTTTTCCGTCTTCTCCTCCTGCATTTGCCAACGGGAATTCAAATATGAATAACAGATGCAAAGGTCGAGGGACTAACTTGATCATCAATGAAGGTGGCTATATGGAGAAGAAGGAGCCAGAGGTTATTGGCAAAGGGAAGAATGTGATTCTGATAAATGATCACAAGAAGAGCAAATCACCAACTGCTATGATGTTTGGAAATGGATATGAAGCATCTCCGTCCAAGTTACTTCCTATTGAGAAGGTAGTTCCTAACAAGGATAAATATGTTCTGAATGAAGAGGACAAGTCGATTTCTATGGGCAAAGATGATTCTTTCAGTCTTGAAGATAATGTGACAACAATTCAGGAAGACCACATGGATAATGGGGCTGGCATTGTGGCTCCCATTATTGGAAACAAGGTTCTGTTCAGCAACTTACTGAAGGTTAGAGAAGTGGACTCAACAGTTTCAGGTGGAGGTAATGAAGACATTCAAATTGCTGAACGAATTACTGATGTTGGACAAAATAATGCGTGGAAGAGAAGAGAGAATATCCCAGTTGAAGATCTGCAACTAGGCGACTACCTATCTGAAGATGGAATGACTGTGAAATTGCATGAGAAGAATGAGGAAGAGAATGCCAAGAAACTAGTTTATTCTCTGGTAATTAAAATTTTTGGAGGAGAAGCCCCGATTTCAATTATAAGTAGTGAACTGAGGAGACAGTGGAATCATTATGGTAAATTTCATATTACCATGCTTACTAGGGGCTGGGTATTGTGTTCATTCTAGGAGAAACAAAACATGGAGTTGGTCCTCTCTAATGGGCCTTGGTTTGTAAATGGAAAGATTATTGGTATGGACAAGTGGTCACATAGCTTTGATCCTAACTCCCTTAAAGGATTGACATCACTAGTTTAGATTAGGCTTCCGAGCCTTCCATTGCATTGTTGTGATAACTTAAATGTTTGCAGAATAGCTTCTATGGTTGGAAAATCAATTCTCCTTGATGGAAACATGTTTCAATGGGGACGTAGGGAATTCGGAAGGTGTGTCAGAATTTTGCTTGATAGAAAGCTACCCGTAGGAGTATGGGTGGAGGGAACTAATGGGAAATTTTATCAAAAGATAGAATATGAACGTATCCCTAATTTTTGTTTCAATTGTGGATTCATTGGGCATACAAAAGAACACTGTGGAAAAGGTGTTGGCAATCCAGAATTCAATTGCAAGGAGGATTTGAGGAATGATCCTAATAATGCTAGGAAAGAAAATGCAGCAGAAGATGGACTGGAACAAACCAATTCAGGGAGCTATGGACCATGGATGATAGTAAACCGAGGCAGGAAGCTTGTCCATAATCAATTCAGAGGAGGTACTCGTGAGCCTATTAAAAAGATATTTTGGAGGAGAATAACTACAAATAATAAGAAGAAGGAAGTTGAGGGAAATCATATAGAAGATACAGCCATGAATTCGGATAAAATTCTAGTGGCTAACAATCAAACTCCTAAAGAAGTGACATTTGGAATTGGTTCGGACGTGAATAATGAAGTGCAGCATGTTATTGAAAGGAATGTCTCTAACATACCTTTTAGTGGAAACAGATTTAATGTATTGAATGATTTACTGGAAGAAGGAGAGTTCATAAAGGAATGTGATACCAGTTTGATGCCCAACGGAAATCTGAGTGCAGGGAAGGAAGAACAGAAACAACCTGCAGCTGACAGCTCAAATACAAAGGAGAAATATGATGATTCCAGTCATTTGAAGAAAAAGAAATCAAAACTGTTGAAAGGCCTTGGACCAATAAGCAGTATCACAAGGAGTATAAAATTGGAGTTGGATGTGAAAGGAAAGGTGGGAGCTGATCCCACATGTCCTCTTTAATGAATTCCTTGGTATTTTGGAATTGTAGAGGAGCAAAGAAGAGTAGTGCTTCTCTATACATGAAAGAAATTGTCAAGATGCATAGTGTTGTTTTTATGGGATTCCTTGAAACTAAAATCTCTAATTTTGACATTAGATTTTAAGAAGCTTATGGGAGATGGATGGGAGTTTGCTATGGTACCTTCGAATGGTTTATCTGGAGGAATTATTGTTCTATGGAATTCAAACATAGTTGAGTTTTCTTTGGTGGGATCTTCATCCCAATGTCTTATTGGTGATTTGACAATAAATAGTAGTTGCAAATGGAGAGTGGCCTCGGTTTATGGGAGCAAAGACACAACCAAAAGAAAGGAACTCTGGGAGTTACTTGAGTTATACTCAGTGGAGGAGCATCCAATGGTGGTAGGAGGAGACTTCAATTGTCTCACTTCTAAAGAGGACAAGAGAGGAGGTAAAAAGTTCTTTCTTTCTCAAGGAGCTAGAGAAATGGGAGCTTTCATTACCAATAATGACCTCCATGATATTGGTTTCATTGGTCTAAGGTATACATGGTGTAACAATAAATCTTGAGGTTCTTGAATTCTGGAGAGACTTGACAGGTGTTTTCTTAATTCTATTGCTTTGAATTATTTTTCTCAATTAACTATGAGACACCTAGCTAGAATTGCATCAGATCATAGTCCATTGGTACTCAATTTCTGCAATTCTAGAAACTTTCATAAGAGGAGAATTATTTTTGAGGATGTGTGGGCTTCATATCCGGCTTCATTTGTTGTGGTAAAGAGGGAATGGAGTAAGAAATTTAGTGGAAATTCTGCTCAAATTTTGAATTCCAGGTGCAAAAGAACTCTCAAATCCTTGTTCTTTCGGAGCAAGGCAAAGCTGAAGAACCTTAATGATTTTAAAGGTAGTCTAATGAAAGAAATTCTGAAGCTACAAACTGATGAAGCAGAAGTTGGATGGCTCTCTGAAGAAGATTGATGGAGAATGAAATCCAAAATTATTGAACTTAATACTACTATGGCTCGGTTGTGCAGTTGGTGGAAACAAAGAGCTAAAGTCAAATAGATGAATGAGGGAGATTGTAATTCCAAATTCTATCACTCATATGCTAATGCTAGAAGGATCGGCAACAGAATTTTGAAATTAAAAAATGATGATAGGTTGGTTATGGAGGAACAAAGCCATATTGAAGATATCTTCATACAGTTTTTTAATTCTAAATGGAAACAGAGAAGTTGTAAGCTGAATGATTGGCCAAATCAATTGAAGCCGGAGGAAGTAATTTCTTTGAACAAAGAATTCACTATGGAGGAGATTGATTTTGTCATCCAAAATCTGGGAAATAACATAGCTCTGAGAGGTGATGGGGTTACATACTCCTTTATCAAATTTTATTGGAAGATTATAAAAGAAGACTTTGTGTTGGCTTTAAATCATTTCTTCAACCAAGGAAGCATGGATTGTAATTGGAAAGATATACTTGTGGTTCTCATACCAAAGGTTTCTAATCCTTTATTGCCTTCTAATTATATGCCTATAAGCCTTTGTAACGTAGTGTATAAAGTTGCTGCAAAAGTTATCATGAATAGGCTTATTCCGATTATGCCTTTGCTTATTTCGGATGAGCAGGCTGCTTTCATCAGAGGAAGATCCATCTCTAATCACATTTTTATAGCACAAGAAATGTTTCATAAGTTCAGATACTCCAAGGCAGCTAAAGGGATGGTGGCTTTCAAAGTAGAGATGGTGCAAGCATATGACTCCATGAGTTGGAAAACTCTTAAACAGGTTTTGAAATACTTTGAATTCCTAGATATGTTTTCAAAATTAATATTGGAATGTGTTTTGAACCCCAGATTTTCTATTATTATAAATGGGAAGTTATCAGGATGGATTAAGGCTGAAAGCGGAATTCGTCAGGGATGTCCTTTGTCCCCCATGTTATTCATCCTATGTTCCCAACTTCTCACAAATGCATTATCTCATTCTTAGATTGAGATTGGAGTTAGCTCAAACAGTCCTCGGATTTCACACTTATTGTTTGCTGATGATGTTATGGTTTTCTCGGAAGCTTCAAGGAAAGCTGTTCTTGAAATCAAAGCCATTCTAGCTGATTTTAGCTCGTGGACAGGGCAGAAGATTAATAAGAGAAATCAGCTATTCTCTTTGGAAACAATGTTGGTAGAAGAAAGAAGAAACATCTTTCCAGGATTATGGGAT